GTATTTAGAGTAAAGTTCTCATTATTGAAATTTATGAAATTATGATAAACAAAACTTTTCTGGGGAAAATTTTCTCGGCAAAATGTTCTTTTATCGAAAAAAACAAAAAAAAATTACTGTGGTATTCATGGGGTTCGAACCCTAGCAATAAAAATCCTGGGTATCATTTTCTTTCGAGACTAGCATGCTAACCACTAGACTACACAAGTCCTGATGAAGAGTGGCATTTAAATCATGTTTGTGATATGACCCTTGGCTTAATGGACTTCAAGTATTTCTCGAAAAGATACTAATGTTATGTCATAAAAGTATATTTTCAAGGTATAGTGGGTCATTGCTCCATATTTTTGGTAACCAAAAAAAGTAAATATTTTTGCAAACTTTGAGGATTAACTTTCAAAAAGGTGGAGCGAAGACCCACTCATAACGAAAAATAGTGTTATAGTATGAAAAAATGACTCTTTTTGCCCACTTTGGTGTGTGTCTAATATTTCGCAGGCAAATAATTTCAATCTTCGAGGGATTTTTGCAAATTGTAGAGATTTTGCATCAAGTATATTTTAATGTTAGACAAAATATCAAGGAAAATTTTGATATAATTGAAATTTAATTTTTCATCTTCATGTTTGTCACACTATAGGCTTATCGCTCATCATGTTCACCCATCTCCTTTACTTTTTCATGAAATAGCAATAGTTACTAGGAATCTAAAAGTTGAGCTCAGTTCTTGTTGGTGTTGTGAAATTCTAAATAAGCTCATTGTTCTCATTAATCTTGAGACTGACCTAAAAGAATTGGGACCTTGTATCGTTTCAAGGCAGTTTTATGTTTACATTTATATGTGGTTAAATTTTATGATTAATTTTTTTAAGTATCTGTATAGCACTGTGGAATATGTCGGTCAGACATTGCATTCTAGATCTCCTTGTAAAACTATTAAAATAACTGTACTGTTTATATTCTTAGGGCTTTACTGCCACTTTGGAATTTACTGCATCTTTAGATTTTAGTGACTGAATGGAACTAACCCCTTAATTGCCCTTTTATTTTCATTAAGAAATTTCATGATGTTTGTTTTCATATAGTCTTAAAGTATTTAAAGTATTGAAAGGTCAAAAGATTAATAAATATGTATATATTAAATAAATAAACATAAGACCATGCATACCTTGCATGTGTAGTCATATTTCAATATAATGACTGTTTTCTTTGGTACTATAAAATAAAATTAAAAAAATAGAATTATTTAAAGATAAGTATTAAACATGCTATTGAACATTTATCTTGGGTTCATTGTGTAATTGGATGGGAGAAATTCTAAATTATTAATTATGATAATCTTCAATTATTAGTTCTGTAGCTGTAAGATCATTTTTAAAGCACCACATAGATTTACAGTTTACATTTTGTTTGTAATAAGTACTTAAAAAAGTGTTTAAAATTTGAATTTAAAAAAAAATTATTGTCTAGAGGTGCAAAGATATTTCTCTTTGACCCAGAAAATAAATATGCACATATATGATAACACTGTCAACATTTCTCCATCTATTTCTTTTGTTAAGTAAAAAAGGATACACTCTGGGAAAACTAAGCTTATGTGTGATATTGTAGATTGTATTTTGTGGGAGCCAGACAGGGGCACCTGCCAGAATTTCTAGCAACTTTGAATATCAACTTGTACACACCACTTCCGTCCCTCTTGTTTGGGGTAAGTTTATCATTTAATAACCTTCCATTTTTCTTGTCTTGGTCAAAAAATAAATATATACCTATTATTCATTGCCCGGTCAAAACTTAGAAAATACTTATCCATTTATGATTTTTTTTTCACATAGTTTGGTGAAAAGCTATTTACTTGTTCTAAAGGCAAAACAAATTGGACACCTATTCATTTCTGTCAGTATGATATTCAGTGAACAAAGTAACCAAGATTGAATTGCAAGTTAATCTCCTGCCATCCTATATGCAAATCCACTCAATTATCTGTAAACAGAACATACAATTTAAAATGCCAGTGGGATTCAAACCTAGTAACCCTTGGATTGATAGTTTAGCCTTCACTTTTCTGGTCATATGTGTCAGTCACATTTTCACCTCTCCTTACCAGCCATATAGAGTAACATTGTTTCTTTTACATTTAATTGGATATTTTGTACATGTATTAAGTACAGAAGCTAATATATCAAAATATAATAGAAGGAAGGGATGGTAGACACAGGTGTATTTGACATGCCATGGGGAAAAAGGCAATAAATGAATAACCCAGTAAACTGAAGATCTTGCACTCAGTGTGTTGGGAATTGATCTTGTCAGTAATATGTGATATTCTCTGTTGACACTATTATTTTAAACTTATCTGTAATGTTTATCAGATAAGTGCAAACTTAAATATAAATATTAGGAGTATGTATTTGAAGTTGTCAACAACTAAGAATGGTATTTTTTATTTACAGTTCCCCTTTCATGTTATATTTTTTGTCTTTTTCTTGGCCTCCTTTGTAATGAAAAAATTAAGTATCTTTTGTTATTGATAGTTACAAAATTGAATTGCTCCAAAGCAAAGAGAAGAGAATATTTATTATTATTTCAATAGTCGATATGTGTAGATATGATGTTCATCTTATCATTATGGAATTGTCCTTAACTAAAGTTTGAAGGGGGGGGGGGTCTTTCCCATGTTTAAGTGCATTTTCATTGGTTTGAAAGATTTATTTATTTCATAACATTGGTTTACTTGACAATTAAAATTCACTCAGTATATTTCATAAATATGAAGCTTAATTCTTACTTAAGTGCCTAATGTCCCTGGTGATGTTGTGTAGCCGTGATGTTCAGGTCCTGATTAACTATGCTGCCTTTGTGGAGACACTGTTTATTACAATCAGTATCGCCGGCCTTATCTACATGAGGTACAAATTCCCTGAAAGGAATCGACCCATCAAGGTAGGTTTGATTAATCAGATATTAGATTTAACTTCAGTCTGTCACATAACCATTTTTTCTCCCTTAAGGAAGCTCTAAACACTAATGAAAGATGCTTTTTAGACTTTGAGAAAAATATATTATATAAAGGTGCACATATTCAGTGTATTTAGTTCATTTTCAGCATAGGGTGCCTGTCTTATTTCTGCAGAAAAAATGTTTAAAGACAATGAACTATTTGTGAACAGAAATCACTGTTGTTTACTTGCATCGGGAAAATTAATGGAAATAATGTATTACATTACTTAATCTTGGTCTAACATAACATTAAGAATACTTTAATTCATAAGAAATTGTGTCATTAACTGTAGATTCCCATTTATTCTATTTTTCTTCTAAGGGCAGATCACTCTAACCCAATAAAACTACCCTACAAATAAAACTCTTTATTGTGCAGTGTTTAGAGCTTCCTTAAAAATACCCCAACCTTGTATCTGGAAAATGCAGTCACTAAGGTTTACTTCTGAAATTTACATCAATGCAAGTTTCAAAAAAAGAGAGAAGGATGTGTGCGAAGTCATATTAAATTTCATGTCAGTTTGTCACTTAATGAATCTGTAAACAGAAGCTAAAACTTTTTTTTTTCTCAATATTTCAGGTGAATATTCTGCTGCCCATCTTTTTCATCTTCATCTGTATATTCCTCCTCTTCATGCCTCTAACGATCGATGCTAATGAAGTATTATGGGGTATCATCATGGTGTTGACTGGGGTCCCTGTGTATCTGCTAGGCATCACATGGAAAAATAAACCCAGGGCCTTCACTGGATTTATTGGTAAGAATTCACTTGCATATCTGACTGGAATCTTTACACAGCATTCATACATTGTGAAGTGATTCAGTACATGTGATATATTTTGCAATAATACTCAAGGTTAACAGAGCAAGAAATATTCAAAACATTCAAATATGCCCATGTATTACTTTTGTTGAAAAAATGTTCATTTATTTTGATGCCCCCACATTAAGACGCTGTACATATTTAACTTGGTCTACTTGGAAATCAATTGAAGGATTGAAAAATTCATAGATTAAATAGGATCTGTGCTGTCAAGTGCATTCTGTTTTCCATTTTTTTGAGTGAGGTGCCATGATTTCTACATGGTATTAATGATCATCTATTGATTTTACAGATTCATTCACAGTGTTATCCCAGAAGGTGCTAATGACAGTCCGTACAGACATGAAAGAGGATTGAGATTAATCTGAGGTTTAGGGATGTTAAATAAGACTGAGTGAGAGAGTGATTTCTGGGGTGGTGGAACCCCCTTCTGTTTCTGTCTCTATAAATGTTCTGCTTTTTATGCATCTGTTATTTGTTGCCGGTATTCAGTTCATTTTTACAGAAGTTCCACAGGGTGGATATGTTGGCTCTGTACATAAATCTGCTTCTTAATAAACCAATGTATACAAGTATGTGTCACAATGACATCATTCCACGCCCACATAGGCTATTTATTGTATTTATTCCCTGGGATATGTTCTCAAACTTTGGGGTGTGACAAAAAGTATTTTTATTGATTGTTCATATCAAAATGTGGGCTGCCTTTTGTGTTCTTTTAAACTTTTTGCCTTTCTCAGATATTGTTTTCAAGATTGTGTGGATCTGAGAAAAAAAGTTATTCTACTCTATATAAGCCTTTATTACTGTAGAACAAGTTTTAAAATGTTGTTGGGTTAGTTTTTACAGACTTTTTAAATGTGTTCATTTATGAATTTAACTGGTTTGCATTTTATGCAAGTTAAGTTAGAGGATTTAATGACTGAAGCTGAAACTTTTCTTTGATATCCATGAACAAGACAAAGTATTGAGATAGACTTTTTTGTTTATCTCTATTACCTCAGTGAAAGTTTTTACCAAGCACTGGTATTTTCACATACCATGATGAGGATTCAATTTTAAATGTTGATTACTTGTTGCCTTTCAGAAAGTCAGTGTTTGTGTAACTGTAACAGTTGTTTCAGCAATTATTTTTCGTCGTTTTGCAAAGTTGATCATCTTATTTTGTATACTTTTATTTGATATTGACCTAATGATATTTGAATGAAATATGAAGAACAAATAGTACATCATCATTCAAATTTGATATTAATCAGGACGTGTTATATCATTAATATACAATATCACTGCCATGAATGGATTATGTCAGAAGTATAAATCTCAGTACATGTAGGTAACTGTTGTCGTGGATTTTTAATTTTAAAATTATATATTTATACATGTGTATGATGCTTGAAAAGATGCATGTGTGTGCACTTGTGTTGTATGAAAGAAAAGGTGTGTGTGCTTGTGTTGTACATCAGAAAAGAGGACTGCACATTAAGATGTGGATTGTTATGCTCACAGGTGTAATTTTTTTCCAGTTGATCTGTACCATCTACTAGGGTTGTCTCAAAATTTCGTAGATCTTTTACTAAGCTTAATGTATCTTTACTACAAAATTTCCTTGGTGAAAAAAGTGGGTTTTGGTTGTTAAATTATAAAATTTTAACATGATTACTTAAAAGCAATTCAGGTAATAAGAATTGTTGTATTTTCATTCCCTAACATCTGGAGAAATCTCTGACATCAAAAAAAGATAAATGTCACTGGTTAAGACTTTCTTTTGGAATCAAAGTCCTTAATTCATCATAAAGATTCTAGATAAAAATGTCAATCTCTTAATTATTTGCTATGATTTACAGGCATTACAGCATATACAACAAATTTTAAGGAAAGATAGTTCACAATGCAATATTTAGAATTTCTATTTCTTTCCAAAATCTTGAGTGGTAAATACTTTTTTATTCAATTTTAAATATTGTATACTGATTTTTAATTCCAATTTTAGGGTACTTTGCTCCCTTCTTGCATGTGCACCAGACAATGAAACATTTTATTTTAGTACAATTTTCTTTTCTGCCTGAACTTTCAGTAAGGCGTGACATTCTCAACTATACATAATTAGTGTCTCTCAAATAGTGACCTAGATTCTCATTGGTTGCCAGATTAGCTTATCTATACTGAAATTTACACAGGTTTTCATTCACAGGTGAAAAAATGGGTCAGATGTCAACAAGTGACGCAAGGAACCAATTACATCGTTTCTTGCAGTAAAGAGGTGTGTCTTATGTCATCTCATCGTTTGTTAACAACACTCTAAAGTTGCTAATGTTATTAATTTCTTAACCAATGAGAATCTAGGTCACCATTTGAGAGGCGCTAATTATGTATCACCGAGAATGTCACACCTCACTGAAAGTTCAAGCAGAAAAGAGAATTGTACTAAATAGAGTTCATCCATTTAATTACTCAAAAGTTAGTCCATAAATTTACTACTAGGTATTGTTGATTTTATATAAGTACCAAGTTTCATCAAATTATGACACCAGATTCCTACAAAATTATGTTTGTCAATGGAATTTTGGGACAATTTTAACTCTCATACATGGTCATTGATTGTTGGGCATTTATTTTTATATGAGCTTCTGTGTTTGAAGTTGACCCACATTTATCTGTAGACAATCTCTACTGGAGACAATTTCAGCATAGTAGTAGTAGGATCAAACATTTATTTCAATAATTATAAGGCAGAGTTCTATTGTAGTATTTTAATTCTTTTAATTTTTCTGCAGTCTATGCACTCTTTGTTTCAAATTTCAAAATAAAATATGATTCAAAGTAATGAAATATTTGATTTGGTACAGCTCTTTTTCCATTGGTATGATTTGTAATAATGAAATTTTACCAAATTTCATGTTAAAATATTTAGACAGAAAAATAATGATTGCAATAGATAGAAATAATTGATCATTGTAATACATGTATGCATATCATGTTTAAATAAATGCTTATCCATATCATGTTAGAATAAATGCTTACCCACATCCTAGCACTATTTTTCCATAGGTTTTTCCCATAGGATTTTGTAATGACAAATGATACGGTAAGTCTATATAGGTCTACCCATATATACTGTGAAAATCAATGTTAATTTAAAATATAGGGACTATCTATGTACAGTGTATTTTTTCAGTGTCTGAGATTTTTTTTTCCCATTATTTCTTGTGAAACTGTTTTAATAACAAGAATTTACTTTTTCATAATAACACATTTTTTATGTAGAATTTGGTAATGGAGAATGTGACACAATCTTTGCTGGGATGTTGATTTAATTTCTTTTTGGCATTAAAGTTATATACATGTTTGTGTTTTAAAAGAATAACAGTATACTTGAGTGAATATAATTCATGTTCATGATTGGCAAGTATCTTAGTTTTATACTGGATACTTCTACCTTAAAAGTGTACTGCAATGCAACAATTTGTAAATATTTTTGTGTTTAAATACTGGTGGCAATATAAGTAAGAAATTTTAGAGCCTTTATGTCATTGTTTGCTAAAGACACTAACATGAATTACTAATAACTATGCCTAAATCTCTTAAGGTAGCTTATTATATTTATTGAATAAATCTTTTAATGTACTCTTGAAGATCTGGATGTATTATAGAGAGCGCATAATCTCTTGCTTTTTCCATTTTTAAATTAAGTCACAGTTAATGTTTGTTTACCTAGACTGCCAGACTTAATATATTGCAATTTTATGCAAAACAGCAAAATTAGAATTTTATTTTTATACTTTATTTATCTGTCATGACATTTTATGTATTCTTGGGGAAAAACAGAATATTATTGTGCAATAATGGTGAAAAAAGAAACATGTGAAAATTTACACAATATAAATGTGTTTGGTCTTATGTTTGATCTTTAATTAATTTCAATTTGAAATAAATTTTGAACACAGTTTATTTTTGTTGTTGCATTATGATTTCATGATACTGTAAACCAGATATTGATCTGCCTGTAGTTAATTATTTTTAAATTCTAACAACTACTAGTTAACTATATGACAAAGTTTTATGTAGTCCTTTTCCTATCTATGCAGCAATATTCCACAATCACCTGTATATGATGTTTATTTCTCCAGATTGATTCGATATTTAAGAGCACGCGCTGAGTATGAGCAATGTTTAAACAGAGGTAGCCTACTGACGAATAAATTGATTTTACAGGGTTTTATGATACATAACACAAAAACAAACCAAAATTTGGTGTATGGATTGATATATATTTAATGAATAAAAATTACATAAATAACAAAAACATGAATTCCTGAAATATAAAGATATGAAGGTTTTTTGTGTGTTCAAATGGGTGACTTTGTCATTTTCTATATAAATCAAAACAACATTTTGCACACATTTTGTGACATTATTACAAAATCGTACAAAAATTCCATTTCTACTCGGGCAAACATTACTTTTATTATCTACATGAACATGAATCTAATGGATGTATTGTTGATTTCTAAAAAAAAAAAAGTTTTGTTATTTATCCTTAAAGTCAGAATTTTGCAATTCTATGGTCATTATAATGACCTTGTTTGCAGATACATTGGTATTTTGATAGACATATGTCCCACCACATTGTTAATTTACATAACCATTTTGATTACAGATTACTCCGTGTACCGTTATCCATGCAGAGGGCTTGGGAGGGTGTGACCAGTAGACAGGGGATGCTTACTCCTCCTAGCCACCTAATATACAGTTTTTGCCCAGATTGTATTCTTTACTGGATTTATGAGATTGATCACTTTTCATTATCTTTACATCACTTTTCATTATCTTTACATCACTTTTCATCATCTTTACCCTATACATCACTTTTCATTATCTTTACTCTTTACGTCACTTTTCATTATCTTTACCCTTTACATCATTATCTTTACCCTTTACGTCACTTTTCATTATCTTACATTCTTGTATATCCCAGCTGTAAGTTATTAAAACGCAAAGGTAGAAGCTTCTGCAGTTTTGGACAATATGTCAATCAATCTGATTAAAATCAGCTGTTCTGACATGCTACCGCTTACGAACATCGGTGTTCGTAAGCGATAGCGTATCAGAACAGCTGATTTCAATCAGATTGTGTGTCAACATCCATACAGTAACTACATATAGCGATAAAGGGTGTATCTAAAAATGGCCATAGCAGTATAAAATTGGGATTTTGTTTCTTGCATGATTTCAAGATTAATAGAAATGTGTATCAATTGAAGCATTACGCCTTTTGAATTTAATAAATGCTAAGAGTACTTGCATTTATTATTTTGGATTAGAAAAAATGTACAGAATATAATATTTTATTCAGTTAATTGGTAGAAAAAAGTTATGATTTATTATTATACATTGTATAATTAAAGTATATCATTGAGGGAGTTGTAAAAATCCTGGTTTTCGGAATCACGTGTGATATTTCTTAAAAGGAGAATCGAAAGCTTGCCAATTCAGAAAAAATATCTTCAATTGTTTTATCTTGAATAAAGTATGGTTCTGAGAATAGTCGGTCTTTTGGGAAATTGTCATTCAAAGGCCGGTCCTTCTCCATACTTTAATTTTTAGCAGAATGGGTTAACCGCTCCCGAAAATCTGAGTGGGAAACCCCCTTCCCCGCCGATACGAAATAGACGGTTATAATTTTTTCCTTCTCTAAGTGAAAATTGAATATGATTACCTGCATTGGCTCTTATAAACAGATATGAAAATGTTTTAGTTATTAAAGTCAAACCCATTGACAACACTTAAAACATTTCATCCTCCACGTCTTTTGAAGATTGAAGATGTTAAGATGATAAAATAGTATTTTTTACTGACGATATCTATCTATATGGTTTAATTTCACAGCTAGGTTATCCATCACTTGTTTTCACCATTATGAAAAAATACAGTATATTATAAGGTGCTGCTATTAAAAAAAAAACAAGATGTGTTTGTGAAACACTGTTGCCCCCGTATGGCAACTTATAGCAAAGGTTAAGCTTTCTCAAATGCAAATCAAATATGTTGGTACCCAAAGGAAGGTCTTGAGGAATATACCTCTGAAATATGAAAGCCCTAGCAGTAACCATTGAATAGATATGGAAAAGGTTAAAGTTTCTCAAAGGTAAGTCAAACATCAAGGTAAGGGGCAAAAATAGTGGTGCCCAAGGAAAGCCCTTCTACAAGAAATACACATGTGAAATATGAAAGCTGTAGCACCAATCGTTCAAAAGTTATGGCTCAGGTTAAAGTTTTTCAAAAGTAGGTCAAAATCAAAGGTCAGGGTCAAAGTAGTTGGTATCCAAAGAAAAGTCTTGTCACAAGGATTACATATGTGAAGTATGACAGCCCTAGCACTAACCGTTCAAAAGTTATGGCCAAGGTTAAAGTTTTTAAATAATAGGTCATACCTCCTATTGTCACAAGGATTACACATGTGAGATATGAAAGTCCTAGCATCAACCGTTCAAAAATTATGGGCAAGGTTAAAGTTGGGTAAAATTTTGCAAAACTGGGTCAAACTCGTAGAATGTCAACTTTGGCTAATCATACTCGATCATTAGCTAGTCCTGAACATGCATAACATGTTTTAGAAAGAAACTTGAAAAACTTTTTCATTACAATTAAAATATTGTAAAATACGTGTTTGAATCCAGGGAGGGTTTATACCGCTAAAATAAAAAAAAAAATCAACCTTCCTAAGACCCCTCCACCGTCTCTCGTCCTCAGAAAGTGGGTAGGGGCCCTAGGGGGTACATCATCCTTACGTCAGGTGCCCAAGCAATGAGTTCCATCAGTTTGAAAGTCAGTTTATAAATTCATGTCTGCTGTGATAAAAATTTAAAAAAATGAAAAGACATTGAAACTGAATCCGAACGTCAAATATTCCGGAAAAGGACGGTCTGATCATCATTTAGTCTTTTTTTTCGCAAAACTGGTACGACTTGTCTTGAACCGGGTACACCCAAGTGCAGAAAACAAGTATTGATTATTGAACTGAGTTTTGAGAATATTTTGAATCGGAATGCACTTAGTTTGAACCTATTTTATATTTATTTGTAATGGAAAAGCAACCAGCTAAGGATGCTAAGCCAGGTTTTCTGTCTATATTGACCGGCGAATGGATAGATATTCCAGATTCAGCCAGAGTAAGTCAGAGAAAATTCGAAAATACCTTACTGATCGAACGGTTTGGTTCATGCTTTGCACCATTGAACGGTTCCAGCTGGGAAATATGTATCTTTTTCTGATTGTTTTGATTATAATCAGTTTATTAAAATTTTATTTTGATATCATCGCTTAGTGGCTGCTTATACATATAGTAAGACTGGCGGTCCTACTAAACCAGTCTAGACGAACTCCAAAAACAGCGTTTCCGGAAGTAAGAAATTGAGACTGAAAAAGACTCCGAAAATAGAGTCCACGCATGCGCACACACACAAAAAATGGCGATTTTTCGGCAAAAATGATGGGTCTACAAAAACTGTCCGTGCAAGTTTTTGAAAAGTATGGCAATTATGCCAGTACTCAGAAATGCTAAACAAAAGACTTCAGAAGAGATCGTATTTGTCAGATTTTTTATTTTATTTGCAAAAAAAGGAGATATTTACTTTCAAAGTTAACGTTACAAGTCAGATCAATTACAGAGAAAATGATACGTTTTGAGAAGTAAATATGCATAATGAAAGAGATATATATGCAAAATAGGACATATATATTGTAACTGGTAAAAACTTGACTGAAATTTACACATAAATTAGCATTCCGGTTTTTTATTTGTGTACGACATTGGAATTGAACGCGCAAGTTCTTACCATTGTTATTTACCAATTTTTTTTATCACATACGAACAGATATTATTATGAAAACATTTTTAAAAATATTTTCTATTAATATGAAAACTTTAGAAACCACTCTTCTAGATACTAAGGGCACAACATGTCTTCTAAAAATGAACCTGTTAATATCTCTGCTCCGTGGTGAAAAATGCGCATTTTCTGATTAAAATAAATACAAGCTGGGTGTCTTCAAAAACAAATAAAAGCACCTTTATTGTAGGAACGACATAAAATTTAAATCAAGGGGACAATAAATTAAATAAGAAAATATTTCTTACCGGCAGTATTGAATTCGATGTCGTATATCCAATTCACTATTATGCAAGAGTTTGAAGCGATAAATAAGTCAATATCCACAAAATAATTTAATAAATGCAATTATCCATTCAACAAAAAATAAAATGAAGTAACAATGCACTTAATACAGCCATTATGCAGCCGTATAATTAGAGAAAGCGAACGACAATTCATCGTTTGTTTACATCGGACGCCATTTTGCCGCAATGCATGATGGAGCCAAAGACTTCGTTTTCGGAGTTCACGCTGTTTTTGGAGTTCGTCTAGACTGTAAACAGAGAACGCTAGAGAACTCTAGAGAACCCTTTAGAACTCAAGGTTTATTTGGTCAATTCAAATAAATTTTATGCATAATTGAGTTTATTTTTACTTAATAAATCATATTCTATCTATAAAATCAATAACGTGAATTTTTTATGGATGTTTTCCTTCAAAAAAAGAGTGTGACTAAAATGGGTAGTAAAATCCGGGCCGGGCCGGGAATTTTGAAACTGAAAACCGGGTTTTCGCTAATTACTGAAAAAATACTGAATTCTTCATCACGAAACTTACAGATGTAATTTAATATAATAAAATGTGTCTTCGCTGAGAGTTTTAACACCAAATATTATGTTTTTCAATTATTAATAATGATTGGCATTTTCCCAGTGACTAAAATGGGTAGTAAGCCCGGTTTATTCATTTAGGCGATTTAAAGCTAATTACACTCAAAAAATGGGATTTCTTTGTGTTTTATCGTTGTTTATTAACTTTAAGAACTTAAATATTACGACAATTGCAAAAATTAACGTCAATAATTAAAATAATCGCCGATTTTTGATACCCGGGACAGTCCAAAACCGGATGCGTTTGCCCGGGACAAACTGGAATATTCCCAAAAATTGCCATCAGATAAGCGGGTGCAGAGAATAATGTAGAATTTATTAAAAAAGTAACCTACCCCCCCCCCCCCCCCCCTCAAAAAAAAAAAAATAAATAAATAAACAAATGGAGAAAATAAAAGAAATATACACAAAAATCTCGACAATTCTTTTTTTTAAATACTAATGGAGTTATGTATCTTAATGATTTGACAAAAGAAAGACTGTAGGCAACAGCTAGATTCGTATTCAGGTAATCATTTCCCTGAAATTACATGTATATATATGTCTACAGAGCTAGCTTGGAACATGTTAAATTAAGATCATGAAGATATTACCAGTAAATTTAATAAAATCTATGCAGCTGGCTTGATTCAGGAATATTTACTACTCTCATCATTATCTCGGAAATTTAAGTTTCATCCTGGGTAAACGGGTCCGGTTTTGGTCGGTCCCGGGTATTCAAAAAATGCATTTATTTTCTACAATCGGTAAATATTTAAAAATGGTTATAATTTTTTGGCAGTTTATGTTCATTTCGATCTATCCAATACAAAAAACTGCAATTATTTCAATAATATTAAGTACAAAACACCAAAATATGTAAACCAGGTTTACTACCCATTTTAGTCACTGGGAAAATGACAATCGTTGATAATCATTGAAAAAAGTAATATTTGGAGTTGAAACTCTCAGTGAAGGCATATTGTGTTGCATTTAATTATATCTGTAAGTTTCATGACAAATAATTAAGTATTTTTCAGTTATTAGCAAAAACCCAGTTTTCAGTTTCAAAATTCCCGGCCCGGCCCGGGTTTTACTACCCATTTTAGTCACACTCGAGAAAAAAGTTGAAAACGTAACAACATAGAGTAGTGTAATATTTTATGTCATCCCGATCCCGACTGAATTTCAAATACGTTGTTAATTGAAATAATAATTTTACCACATAATTTTACAATTCTCTAAGACTGGCGATAAGTCTAGTACTGACGACTCCGGACTCTCTAGGGAGACCATGAATATTCAGCAGGTCCGGCACAATATCTTAACAGTTATCCAAACAGTAAAAATACATTTTTTGCTTAAAAGTGTTCAAAAGCAGCAATGTTTAAACCATCCTTTATTTGGATTGCTTTTTTATTTGACTATTTTGAATAGCTTAATAAAGCTATATAGCTATTTCAAGCTATATAACTAAATCAAGAGATTTAGCTATATAAGGGATTTTTGTGTCAACCTGGTATAAACAAATGGCATTTAGATGTTATTGTATATATTTATTGTATATTTTACAATTTTGGTTTTATAGCATGGAAAATGTCGCAGTGTATCAGAGTTTGAGAAGCTTAGCAGGGTAGGGGAGGGTACTTATGGAATTGTATGTAAGTTTTATTTTATGCTCATACAATAGCATCAGCTGCTTATATATGAAATGATTAAAAGTGATGTTAATTAAGAATTTCATAAACTTTACATTCCTGAATGGGAAAGCGTGATCAAAGGTTAAAATCGGAAGGATCCCACCTAAATCGGGAAAGTTGGCATGTATGTACATAGAATCTTAGATGACATTGAGGAATTAGTATTCTTCTGTGGTTTTTCAGATAGAGCGAGAGATAGGAAAACAGATACAATTGTGGCACTGAAGAAAATGAGAATGGAAAGAGAAAAGAATGGTACCGTAATTAAAATTTTATTTCAAGAAATTAATGTATTATGTAAAGACTAAATCACTTAACCATGATGCTTAATGACAACTTGCTGTTGATGTTGTTTTGATTTTTCAACAATCTTAGCAAAAACTGTATTGAGATCATCCTGTATTTTAGTACACTCTGATTGTCCTATACTTTAGTACACTCTGATATATGCACTTGAATTTGAGGTCAAAAGACTCGGAAATTATATTCTTCCTCTTCTTCCTGTGTCCAACACTGTTATCTGAGGCAGTAGTGTGTGTGCTATAATTTTTAGCTCTACTGGTCAGAGACCAGAAAAGCATATATGTGATAGTTAAGTATCTGTTGTTTGTCTGTCTGTTTGTCTATAAACAATTTTTCAAAATGCTACTCCTCCTATAGTTTTGGACCAATTTCAATAAAACCTGATACACAAGTAGATTACACTGAGATACTTAATTCTGAGTATTGGTTTTTGATTTCAATGAATGATGTTGCTATGGTTACAAAAAACAGAAATTCCTGTGAAATTCTTTTAAAATACAGGGTTCTCGATTTTCTATAATTAGGGCCGTTCAAAGGCCCCATTCCCAATTCAAAATAAAAGTACCCTTTTTCCCAATTTAATGTATTCATTTTCCCAGTAGACCTTTTCCCCAAGATTAAAGAACATATAGTTAGTTATATAATGAATAAACTTGCTACTCATATTTACTCTGTACTGCATAACATAAAGAACAAGTCTCAATAAGGCTTATCTGTGGTCCCTGGTTACTTGTCAAATTTCGAACATTAATTAAAATTTTTAAAAATTAAATTTTATTATTAACTAATGTCTTTATTATTTGAATCATCATCTAAAAATGTCAAACAATAGATATAGGCAACATACGAAGCTGCGCGTTGAAGGTAGGGTCCTTTGATTTTCATGAATATCAAAAGAAATCAGTGACAGGTACACACTTCAAAGCTTTCATATACACCGAGCACAGGTTTGTTCAGAGTCGAGTTTGAAATATAATGTGTATATTATATGTGTAGATGTTAAGTGAAAATATCTTTGTTGAACAATCCTGTGCTCCATGTTTTCTAATTAAAAGTAATAAGATTTTGAATCTCTTCGCTGACTTCATTTACATGCGATTAACCTCTTTATGACCTGTTTAGAATCACAGCAAGCCACGTGGATTTGTATCATTACGGGTAAATGCCCCCAGTAAACGTGCTAGTTCTCAGTTGAAACGTACTCAGTTTTATATCAATCAGCAAAGACTTGTTTGGTTCATCTTGTTATAGCTTTTATTGCCAAAGTTTTGTAAATAGAAAATTGTATTTGTAGTTGATTGTGAATCTTGAACATATAATTCGTCTTTGAAAGAAAAACATCATACCAAGATCTTCTTTTTATAGTATCTAATCTAAATGTCTCCACCCATTTTTATGTACATATGTAATAGAGAAACCGTAGTCTGATCGGGGGGAAATGTTCCGGCATTTTTTAGTGTGATAGTGTTAAAAACAGGCTTGTATTTTTTGATATGTTTAATTATTCATTATAAATACACAATGTTTTAATTAGAAATACATCGTTATACACAAAGAAAAAAATCAAAATACCGTATGCTAATATTTAACCGTTAAACCAAGGGTGTAAAAAGGGACCACACTACTATACTTAAGTAGAATACTCCTTTAGTTGATAACAAACACCATGTGTAATAATTATTCCATAGTTCCCCAAAAGGTCGCTATTTTTTAAATTTTTTTTTTCAAATTATATGGCCCCAGGCCCCTGTCCATGAATTTTGGTTATTGTTTTATATAATCTGTATTAATGAAAATAAGCAAGAATAAAATTTTTGTGAGCAGACTGTCTGGCATAATTATGTGAAAATAAAGCTCTCGCAAATATAAAGTGGTTTACAGAAGGTAAAGAAGAGTTGGATAATAATTAGAGATTTGGAGCTGCTCAGTCAAATGTCACTATCAAAAGGTCAAGATCATTGATTTTTGTGAATGCCGGAGCTGCCTTATGTGGAGAACATTCATTATATGCTGATACTTTAACATTATATGCTGATAGTTTGTCATTATATGCTGATACTTTGTCATTATATGCTGATACTTTGTCATTATGCTGATACTTTGTCATTATATACTGATAGTTTGTCATTATATGCTGATACTTTGTCATTATATGCTGATACTTTGTCATTTTATGCTGATACTTTGTCATTATGCTGATACTTTGTCATTATATGCTGATACTTTGTCATTATATGCTGATACTTTGTCATTATATACTGAAACTTCAACATTATATGCTGATACTTTAACATTATATGCTGATACTTTGTCATTATATGCTGATACTTTAACTTTATATGCTGATACTTCAACATTATATGCTGATAGTTTGTCATTATATGCTGATAGTTTGTCATTATATGCTGATACTTCAACATTATATGCTGATTTTTTGACATTATATGCTGATACTTTGACATTATATGCTGATACTTTGACATTATATGATGATACTTCACTACATATATGGTGCTTTAAAAATAGGTTAAAAATCGTGATCGTGATACCAAAACGTCCAAAACGCATGTATTAACAGAATGTGCTAGATGTTTTTATTAAGATGGAATATTGCAGGTTGTTCGACGAATGCACGCCTTTTCTCAGCTAATAAGGTCTTTTTGGCCTGATTTAAAGGTTCAAGTGGATGTAGACATTTCGATCGTTGTTCACATTCATCATTTCAAGGAAAACTAACGTTGTATCTTAAAATATGTATGTGTAATCATAGGGGGCTTATCTTTCGGATTGTTAAGAAAGATTTTTGAATCTACTTTAAATACACTTAAAAGTTGTTAAAATAAAGATTCTTACACTTTCAGTCCAGAAAAGCCACGTTTAAAAAAGACGTACCACACCTATATATATATACATAAAGTATATAGGTGTGGTATATGTACGTCTTTAAAAAAAATTAAGAAAAAAGTAAGAGGTTGAAAGAAAAGTTTTAGAAAACTTTTATGTTCTTCATATTCAATAGAGAAAACCTGAATCTTGAGAAAATCTTTGCTCTTATATACTCATTTTTACTACAAGTATTTTTTTTTTTGAGTTTATATTGTCATTTTGTCATTAATATCACCCCCCCCCCCTCGTTGCCCGCGTGGCGCAGTGGTTAGAGCGTCTGCTCTAGAATTGTGAAGTAAGGAGTTGGTCCTTATGTCGCGGGTTAGAATCCCTCTGTGGGATGTGGAGACCGGTCCTTCGGATAAGACAATATAAACCGAGGCCCCGTGTCGCAGTAGGTGTTGGCACGAAAAAGATCCCTCGCTGCTCAATGGCCCTGAGTGCCGAGTATAGGTAAAAAATTAGCAGCTCTCCACCGACAAGGGTGGCGTCTTCATATGAGTGAAGAAAAATTCTCGAGAGGGACGTTAAACAATAATCAAACAAACAAACCCCCCCCCATCTTGAAATCCTGTATACCCCTCTGGAATGTGTTTACGGGCTTTCAAGTTACATGATTATATGTATTATTGCAAAAAATGAATAAATACATGTATTTTAATATGATTTTTTATAGATGAATTTATACTGCATGAGGTATAATTTAATTGAAATTGAAGAATTTTTAATAAAATATTATATTAGTTGTTTGGATGTTAAAAATATTATTTTTGAGTTTATAATTTTTAATTTTTTTTTGGAAGGGGGGGGGGGGGGTTGTTGGCAAGATTACAACTCCATTCAAACTAACTTCATAAGCTCAGTTTCGGTGATTTTCCAGTTTTCCAGAATGATTGCATGCATGGCACTGGATGTATAGACCAGCTTAAATAGTTCAGTTAAAATGCAATGGCAGCTAGATTCTGGAAAAGCTTTTGAGTCATTAGTAGCCTAAATTACTATGTCGATGTCATAACAATGAAAAAATCTCTGAACAACAACCCCCGTCCTACCGATTTGAAAATTATTTATAAAAGAGCTATCAAAAACTTAAGTGCTGATGCCTGGTTCGGAGGCCGGGGCAATACGCGTGGGGGGGGGTATCATATTATGTGAATTAATCATCTGTACTAGGATGACTTTGGCGTGGTGGTAGCCCCACCCCTCTCCCCAAAGAAATGGAGTTTTCGAGTTTGGTTAGACTTTTTTGTTTTGTGTGAAAATAAATAATCTGTACCTGGTCATCTAGAAAATGAATAATCCATCATTCACGAAGTCACATGAAAATAAATAATCTGACTCAAAAAAAAAAATTGCATTTCCCCCCCAAAAAACGAATCAAATGTTTGTCCCCTATAAATTGTATTATTCTGCTTTGATGTCCTGTAACATCATTGATGTTTAAAAAACAGCGAAGTTTTAATACCATGAGAGTTCCTGAACTTCCAAACTATCTTTAAATTTTCGTGCTTTACACGTGCTTTTTGCAAAGCTATCTTCATTAAGTTCACTCTTAATATTATATATGTACTCTCTACCCCTTCCCAAATATGCCAGTATATTCAAGACTGCTTACACGTGCCTCCTACATGTATCCCTTTTCCTCCCATCAATTTGCCAATACATGTACATGTATATACACCAATACATGTACATGTATATATATACTAAAACATTTGCAATTGAAAACAATTTTTTTTGGATTTTTTCTCTTGTCAAAGAATTTTAGTATGAAGATCCCAATGTTTAACCTATTTTTTAAAGCACCATATAGTGAAGTATCAGCATATAATGTTAAAGTATCAGCATATAATGACAAACTATCAGCATATAATGTTGAAGTATCAGCATATAATGTTAAAGTATCAGCATATAATGACAAAGTATCAGCATGTAATGACAAACTATCAGCATATAATGTTAAAGTATCAGCATATAATGTTGAAGTATCAGCATATAATGTTGAAGTATCAGCATATAATGACAAAGTATCAGCATATAATGTTAAAGTATCAGCATATAATGAATGTTCTCCACATAAGGCAGCTGCGGTGTTCCATAGATTTTTATCAATGGACATAGGTATATGATGATTAAAAATATACCATTATTTTTACATGTTGGGTTGACCCTGTTCACTCGGTCAAAATCAAGATCAAAGTTCTTAATGTACAGGTAATACTGACTGTCAGTTTATTTAGTAAAAAATGATTATCTGTATGCAGTTAATTGATTCATAAATTCTTTATCTTATATTCTTTCAGGAATTCCTGTTAGTGGATTGAGAGAAATCAACATTTTGTTAAATTTACGGCATCAGAACATTGTGGAACTTCAAGAAGTAGCAGTTGGAAAAAGTTTAGAAAGGTACATGTAAAATCCTTATATTCTTAAATTGTTTCTATATGTTGTTTGTATTGAGCATGTGAAAATAATGTAAAAGAATTAAAGTCACGGTTTGGAGTAAAATTAATTTTACCATGAGGAGTAAGTATTTTGTATTAAACC